TTAAAACCTTATGGACATAAGCCTCATAGATATATGGTTCAGCAAACAAGAAGTACAAAAACCACAATCTTTTTCAACCAAAATTTTAAGACTAATTACAGTCTTTCCTGATACTTAAAAAACAAAACATCACACCGACTTACAAAAAACAACTGTCGTCCAACACATACTTACCTATACCAGGTATCTATATACCATCAATGGGTGGAATCTCGACAAGTCAGTTTATATCATTATTCCTAACGTGTAAAAAATATAAAATAATTAAACTGAAACGGGTGACGCGCCCACCATGTGACGACTGAAAAGGAGCTGAACAGTTGCTCTCCTTTCCAGAATTGATTAAGTAAATCAACAAAAAAACAACAACAAAAAACGTGCAGCTGGGTAATATTCTGCGTCATACTTATAATGCGATTTTCCAAACAACAGGTGCAGATGAACTTTTGAAGAGAAAACAAAATTATTTCAATAATTGATAAATTAATTTTTGTTTCGTTAAACTAGCCAACAATGACACGAACAACGTTACACTGAATGCAGTCCAAGACATTTCTTTTTTTAAACAATAGTTGAAAACATAGGTATTTGAGAAATGACAATAACGTTGTAAATATATATGATTTCTGAAGTATTTTTACTTCATAGCATAATATATATTTATATAATACATATCCATAATATACGGACTCTCGGTGGAACTCCGAGAATGACTGAAAAGAATAATGAACAGCTGTTTAAGATTTGTAATTGGTTCCCCGATATACTCCTATATCTTCCACCACTACACTGAGTTGAAGTGGCTCTTTCCCTCCATTCGAAGACAATATTTCCTAGGTACGTTCCTCTATCAAATTATCGTCCTTCTTACGCCTACAGCCTTCTCCAATTCAAGACTTCAGTCCATTCTCTTCCACAGAATCTCGATCTTCCGACCTTTACATCTCTTCTCACAGATCTGAATAATTTCAAAACTCCTTTATTGCTCGCTCTGTTAATTTCTGAAATTTCCTTCCTATCAAAATTTTGCATTCTTCTCCCTATCTACATTTAAAACCCTCCTATTCTAATTCCTGTCACAAAACAGTCAGATACCCTCTAATATTTTATGTAAAATTACATATTATTCATAATGAATTACATAATGATGTATTCTCAAATATTGTATCACCTTAAAACTCAGACAATTTTTACAATCAAATTGGGGTTTCTTTTTTTTTTCACAGAAACACTGAGTTTATTTCTAAGAAGAATGGAATGTATTTTTTATTTTATTATAGAAAAACTTTTTCGTTTAATAATCTTTAAGTTCATATTAACTAATTAGAGGTTTAATAAGCAAAAAGTTGAAATTCACATCAAGTTATTTATTCAACTATATGATTTCTTATCCAGTTATCAAGTACCCGTGTTTTCAGAAAAAAAAATACTACAATTAACTGTTGAAAATCTTTTATTGCTTGTTTTTCCATGATCTGGGATGTATCATAATAATCATAATATCATAAATACATTTTTTATTGATAAAAGCAATTAAAATAATGATTTTCAAGTAATTTTCACGAAAAGTGGTCAGGTAACTGTTTTTTCTGTCATAAAAATTGATCCGTATTTATAAGTGACAACGTAATGTTTCTAGTCCTAAAATTTAGGATTAAAATAGATAAACCTGGTGATTGCTCTTATATATAAGGATTTGTTTTGTAATAAACCAATTATTCAAACGTAATTACGATATATGGAAAGTTAGAACATTGCTATATCTGATCCAAATTTGACTCTTTGGCAAACTCTTCGATCAGTAAAGATATTATCTAGTTCCAAATAAAATAACAAAGAATAGTCTTAGCTATTTATAGATCAAGAAAACATTGTGGTTTCTAAGTTTAAGAGTTGAGAATGGACTCGATGACTTTGTTTGTTTCTGTAAAACTTTCTTATCGTATTATTGAGTATTACAACCAGTTAAGCTGTAAAACGTTAAGTAATATGGATATATATACCTACATATTTATAAAAAAATCTGATGCATATCACACACCATCCACTTAATACCCATTTTTAGTAGAAATAAGTATTAAATAAGGCAAGTGAAACTAAAAATTAAAGACGATACAAAATATTATTTATAACTATTAATTAACAATTAATGTATATTTTACAGCCGTGTAATGTATTACATTATATCTATACTATTTTCGCTTTATGACCATTTCCTTTTACGACAGTATATTTTAATTATTTTTTCGTTTTAATAATTAAGTCCCATGAAATATTTTTAGTCCGACAATAGCGCCATTGATAAAGATGGACAGTATATTTATTTTATATTTTATTACAAATTTTAATTTTATATTGCTATAATCTATACAATTAAATATTAAATAATATCAGCATTTATGAGAACCGTACATGTATATGTAATAATAATATTATCGGAGCCCCTATTTTATCAAACACATGTTATGTACGGAAGCCTATTCTAACGTATTGGGGCTCCATTAAGATCCCTTATTTCTCCTTTAGTCAATTATCAAATTCATTCATATTTTATATTTAAATATTTGTTTTATCAGGTTACAATTTGACACGGTTAATTATTTCAAATAAAAAAACTTGAAGGTGCTTTAGAGAACTACCTACATTATATTAAAAAATTTCACAATGATATAATGAATTTAATCAAAATCGTTCGAATTGTATTTTTGAGAAAAATTTCTATAATCAATTGCATTATGGTGTCACTTCTGACTAGCCGATTTTGACGAAACGTTGCGGTAACATCTCAGGTATATACAAACCTTAAATACACAATTTCAATTTCGCCCGAATTTTCGTTTTTGAGCTAGGCTGTTCACATACAGGCACACAGGGTCCATTTTGAAAGTCTAGGTACATCATAGCGTGTATTTCCGTTGAAAATATTCGGATTCGAAAATTATCACAATCGCAATACTTTTTCCCGTATATATTTCATAAATATAGGTAAATCATTCATAGGTAAATGAAATAAAAACAAGAATAATGAGATAATAAAAATATTGAAGCCAGATACACGCTTTTTTGCAATATTTATCAAACATATCCCAACACTCCTTCCCATCAGGTAAAGCAAGACTGTATGTGATCCCCTAACGTTTTGGGTGTTTTAGTAATGGAATATTTTTCTTAGTTTGCTTTTATAAATAACAGATAAAAATATCAGTTTTTCTGAATGTAAAACCAAAAAAAAAAAATTTAATTACTTGTTTGAAGAGTTTCAAATATACAATTTTTCAAGTACATTTATCCAATAATAGCTTAGTTTTTTCCAGGCGATTTTTTTTCCTACTTTAGCATCATTAGAATTTATATATATATATATATATATATATATATATATATATATATATATATATATATATATATAGTCGTAAAAGGGAATAGAAAGTGACGCAACCATATAAATTGAACACATTCGGTGCACGAGAAAAATATGGTAATTAATTGTAATAAATGAATATGCTATACCGTCTATATTTTTTATACTTTGACTTGTATTAAATTACTTATTCCTACTCTAAGCAGAATGGTGTTGTATGATTTACTTATCGAACCAGATTTTTTATTATTGAAATAAAAAGTAAGACGTAACACAACAACACCATGAACGGTTACAACATAACGTGAGATATAAACATTCTTGACCAAAGGCTTTTTTTAAATCTAAAAAAATATACTTATTCCGAAGGGATTAATTGAAATCAAACGGACGAAAACAACATTCCAGTAGCAGCTGCCCGGGCGGAGCCATTCATTATACTAACGGCCGTGTAATCATAGTGACGTTGGATCTCGGGCTAAATTAAATAGGGCATAAAAAGAGACTGAAGCATTACAGGCGGAACTACGTAATTTATAAATGGACCGCAATGATAGTATTAGTAATGCAATAAAAAAAAAAAATCGGGGTATCTCACTGGCTAAGGAAGACACTGTATTCTTAAACAGGAAGCCAATATTCGAATCCAGTTGAGGAAGAAGATTTCTGTAACCCGGAGGTAAAGAATACACCATGTTATTTTTGGTATTTGATATTTATGATATTTTTGTATTTGTTCAGGTGAGTCAATATTTCATAACCTTGAGCTGTTAAAATTTGCTTCTTAGTTACTAAATTATTTAATAAATAATTAAAGACATATTAAAGTATTATGACATATTAAATATTAAAGTACACAGATTTACTCTCTGATATAGTATCCCTATGTGGATTTCGTGTTTCGCCTCCGAAACATCTCGGAGCATCCTAGTAAAAAAAAAAGTGAGTACCTGCTGTAAAATTGGAATTCATGAGGATGAAGAAAGTTAAAATAGTGGATGGTTTTACTCGAACAGATAAGCGTAATATTCCACTACTGCAAACTCACGGAACGCCTAAAAAGAAAGCTACATTGCAAGACAAAATAGAGTGGGATTATTCAGATTCACCGGGGTGGCCGAGCGGGCCAATGCGTGTGCAAAACATGCGTTGCCCGGAGCAGCAACCTTGGACAAACTCTGGTATAATTCATCCGCTCTCCCTCCCGGGCTGGGCTAAAACCCGTATAGCCTAAAAGGCGAGGAAAGACAAAAGATCAATTTTATTTCAGCAACATGCAGTAAATGACAAGGAGAACTCATGCTGCTTTTGACCAGTCATTTATATATCATTGCCATAACATACACGCCCATCTTCTCAACATCGAGCAACAAACAATGAAAAACCTTAACAAAAATAGATTCTCAGGTTCGTAATTCACATAATCTTTTATACATTTAATATTAATGTTTCACATAATATTAAATATAATTTTAAAACAATTATATAATGATACGCAAAATAATTTTATGACTAAAAATTAAGTATTTACCTTAATTGTGTCAATATTAACGTTTACCTTGTCTAGAGTTGACAGTATCTTTATTAAACATAAACTTCAAAAATTATATTTTTTATTTACATAAAAATATGGAAGTACCTTGTTTTGGAACTGCTTCTTCTATGATTGGATCCTGGATGATGCTCTGGACCAGCTGAAATTTCAAATATATATTAGTTTAAGATATTTTTTTATTTTTATAACAATAATTACATAAAAAAGGCTATTGCATTAAATACTTTATTCCAGTAGCTCCCTGGTACGTAAACAACAAAATTTTACACCGACTTACAAAAAACAACTATCGCCCAACACACACTCTTCACTCCCCATTTGATATTAAACTACCTATACAAGACAACTATATAATATCAATGGGTGGTATCTCCACAAGTCAGTTTATATCATTATTTCTAACGTGTTCGTTCTCATTTACTGGTTTTATTTATTTGTTACTGTTGTAAATTTTAATAAATAAATAAAAATTAATTAACCTGGCACGGATGATATGCCCACCATGAGACGACTGAAAAGGAGCTGGACGGACGATCTCCTTTCCAGAATTAATTAAGTAAATAAACAAAGACAAAAAAACGTGCTGGATGATGCTCTGGACCAGCTGAAATTTCAAATATATATTAGTTTAAGATATTTTTTTATTTTTATAACAATTATTACATAAAAAAAGACTATTGCATTCAATACTTTATTTCGGAGAAAATTGTAAGTAAGCCCTCCTAAATAAAAGATTTTTTTTTCATTGGTCCGTCTGACTGACCAAACCAATCCGATTCGAGATAAATACTTGAATAATCGCAATATTTAATCCTTTAAACTATAACACATATACACCAACTAAATAAAGGCACCGTGTCATGAAAAAAGTATAAAATATTTATCTCTAAAATCATTATTGTACCAGCCAGTAATTACCGTTTGGAGAAGGCCACTTAAACATAATTTATTATAGTTTCTTCTCTTATCTTCCTTAGTTTTTCTTCTAACTTTCTTTTTTTCCATCAGGTTAGTTACAGTTACAGATGCTCTAGAATTAAATCCTGAATACGCGACTGCAGGAAGTAGGCATTATTTATTGTTATCTCAATGTTCCTCATTATGCAACTTAAAAGAAGATTTTTTTTTATTTTATTATTTATAAATATAATAATCTGTCACGTGAACAATAATTATAGTGAGATATGAACACATTCATACCGTATATACAGAAAAAATAAAATTCACAAAAGTAAAATAATAATAAAAAACTATGTACAATAATATAACCTAAAGATAAGTAAATTAAAAACATAAAAATACAGTCATAGTAGAAAATACTTTTAATTGTTTAGCCGCTATCTCACACTTAGGTGAGTACAAAATGAAATATTTAATATATAACTTAATTTTCCATTATTCAGTTATGTTCTTTATCTCAATATCTTTTCACACTTATTTATTTACTCGATAGTAAGTTTAATAATAATAAAATTAGTTGATGATTGTTATTTATTGGATGTTTTCGAGGATCTTTGTCCTCCTCTTCGGCAATATTGTATTCACCTAAGGAATTGGATAAATCATAATAATTTTATAAGATTGCTACAATTGCTAATATCCCAAAACGTCCAATAAATAAATAACTTGATTATTATTGAACTGACCATCAGGAAAATAAATAAGTGTGCAAATGTAGCTTAATGAAAAAAAGAATCGAAATGAAATTAAATGAAAAATAAAGGCAATGATTAATTCAACGTTGTAAATTTAACTGTTTTTCTCCTTAAATAAGAATAAAGAATAATTTTAAAGTATAAAAATGCATTGCTTATATTCTTAGATCTTAAGACAATTATTTAATAATCTTTTAAAATTATATAAAATTAAAAAAAAAACTAAGATAATGAGATTTTTGCACTGAATTCCATTATTCCGTGTTTCATTATTTGGAGAATATCATAATTTATAAAGATCATATGAGCTATATCAAGAGATTTGATAGGTTCAATGAAAATATTTTAATTTTTAAGTTACTTTCTGTATTTAGGTGAAAAAAGAGATACAAATAATGATGTAGATTGCCTGAAAAATATTGTTAAAATGCTGTGATATCAATTTATAACTATTTGTTGAAAGAGTTTTGTATCGTAAAGTAAGTACTTATTAGAAGAATAAAACAAAAATAATTTTTAAAAAAAATGTGGTAATGGTGATCATTAATACCGTTTAGATCTGGCAGACATAAACGGTTACACAGGGTTTCAGGAGTGGCATAAGTTAATGATCACATATGGAAATATTTATATATAGAAAGTATATTTTTAATTTTATTATTTTTTACTTTAAAATAAACATTATTATTATTATTAACATTGACTTTTGATTTATATATTGATAAGAACATTGGTATATTCAAGAGAAATGTGGGACGGAGTATCTCAGTGAGTTAGGCATTGGGCAGCTAGGCTCAAGTTGCTGTGTTCGATTCCACCTGTCAAGTAATTCTTCATCAGCCGTGGATGGACTCAGCGGTCGAGAGACCCTCCATGGGCTTACTCAGCCTCTTTGAAATGGACACTCTTAATTAAAAATAATTAATGAAGGTGCGAAAATCTGGAGGTTGGACGTGATCCTGGCTCGATCATCACACAACCGTTGGCCTTGAAAGATTACCTCCTAAAAAAATATTGAACCCAAAACCCTTCATAGGTTGTAGTCGTATAGATTTTTTATTTTTTTTTATTTTTACATATTATGAAATTTGCACCTGCGCAACTAGAAAATCTTACGCATTAGCCAATAGTTGCGAATTTGCTTGATTATTATTATTATTATTATTATTTTCTTTGTTATTAATATATGAGTAGGTCACTTGGCCATTTTTTTTCAGTCTGCGTCGATCAGGTAACAGGAAGCAGGAAATAGAAAGGACTAATGGATTGATGTGATTTAGAGTTGAAGAATGGAATGACCTGTATTTGTTGTGGTTGTAGGATTTTACTGTTGGAATGTTTAAGTCGTTGTGTATAGTTTTTTTATTAAAAGGAAATAAGCAGTAGTATATAAATATATACATTATCAAGTTAGTCACAATAAAAAATTCAGTGGTACAGACCTCTTTTTATCAAATTATTAACATGCGCCTCTAACTTCGTGAATAGCTTCATCTCATCTTAACATACAAATATTTTATTTACGGAAATTCTCGGAATTAAGGCGTTTTAAATCTAGTGATTGGCAAACATTGTCTATTTAATTAGGTACTAAAACTCATGAATACCTATTTACTTTCCAATATAATCATAAGATAATATGATCTCAAAATTGAAAAATATCAATAACTTTATAAAAGGAGTCTGTACCACGGACTATTATACTAATATTTCTTTTCTTTCTTATTATTTTTTCAGTCTTGTCAACCTCTTACATCTCCATTGAGCGTAACAATGCACAGTTTGCGTAACTTTCAAACAAACAATCTTCTTAATGGACTACTTAAATCTGCAGATTCTTTGTAAATAAGTTGTTAAAATAGAAGGAGAAGATATACGTGGTAGCGAACACAAACAACTGCTAATGGTATGCCGGGACAGGCTGTGTACAGGAGCACATTGGTCACAGCTATTAGAGCCACTCAACTGTACCACCTATTCAGGAATACCACCTCTCCCCTGATTGTGCTTGAATACCATTTTACGGTTCGATTGGCGATGCTTGAGGTGGCAATGGTAATAATCTGGAGGGGGGATGTAAATTCCAGTAGAGGTACAAATGATTATTATAGAGTAGAAACAACCACAGTAATTTTCCAACTACTCAAGGAACAATGAATCAATTAGTAAACGGGAAATAGGGTATTACTTACATTAAACATTAACAAAATATTTTCCAATTCTGATTGGTTTTTACATTCACTAACCTATATATGTAATATATAGTAAGGGAAAGTATTGCGATCGTGAAAAATTTCATCGAAAATAAACGTTTTGAGGTACCCCGAATCCAAATAACCAAGTCCCGCAAAATGGTCTATGTGTGTGTATGTTAACAGTCTAACTCAAAAAAGAAATGTACGAAACTGATATTACGTATTTGGGATAGGTATATACCTTAGATGTGACTGCAAATTTTTCCTTATAATCAGCTAACCGGAAGTGCCACTTTATATCAATGGTGAAACACATTTTTACAATTTTCTCAAAAACGGCTCTAACGATTTTGATTAAACTCGTGTATCATTGTATAATTAAGTGGTATTTTAATTAAGTCTTATTCCCATTGATGTCACTTTACAGGGCTTAAATGCCCAATGTTCATTTACGTCTTCCTCTAAAGTACCTTTTATATAGGTTATTTTAAATAATTAACTATTCCACACTTTTGAAAAAATTTGATTAATGAATAAAGTAGAAGAAAATAAAAATGCTTATCCAGGTCGTAAATGAATCTTCGGAAATACTATTCAGAAAGTATACGTATAAAAATGAAGAGAAGAATAGTTGGGGTGATCAGTCAAATAAGAAGGCAAAAATAAATGATAATATTTATTTTGACATTGCCGACGTTTTGACCTGAAGTTCAGGCCTTCATCAGGGCTGTCTCAATCAGTATTGAAAGGAGAAGCCAATACTTATAATATATCGTTGGAAAGCGGAGAATTTTAGAAAAAAAATATCTAATATAGAAAGTTGTAGAAGGTAATGTACAGTGGCTAAAAAAATATAAATAACAATTTCTAAAAAATAACTAACTAACATTATTCAACGTAAATTACGTGTTTTCAAGGGAATCAAATGAAATTTTCTTGCTAAACTTTTGAAATTGTTTTTAAGTTTGAAAAGTATTTAAAATCCACATATTTAAGGCAATGACATTGTTAAAGAAATTATTTCATTGTACTCGGGTGGAAGAAGAAGTGAAATATAAAAATATTTCATGGATATGTTTATAATCCTAAATATAGTTACTTTAATAGTTTTACTTTTAGGTTAATAACTCCAGATCTGAGTTTATATTTAAATAATTAAGTATCTATCGTCCGTTTATTCATTATGTTATTAATGGTATTTATGATTTGTTAGCTGTAAGATTTTAGCTTTAGCTCGTTAAAAATGCAATTCAAAAGTATTATAAGAGCCTAACATGAGAAATTTTTCGCAACTCTAATGACACATAGAGTTGGCCGAGGTTTACTTTTTCAGACTCATGAGTACATGACCTTAATATCAGAGAATTGAGTTTGCCGTCCTCACTCAAGCCCTGGACCTAGAAAGAGCTTTTATTCTACTTCTTTCATCTTATATAAGATAGTACCAGCTGGACCGTGCGAATAATTCGCATAAAATGTTGGTCAGAGAATAACTGATAAAATAGTATGGGAGTATGTTAATAAAATGTATCATCAGGTGGAGGAATACATTTTCCTTAACTTGGTCGAATTAAAATAGTAAATTCATAATAATAAACCACAACTTTTGTATAGTTTACTGTGTTGCACGGGCGGATCTACAGGGGGAGGGCTTTGGGGCTGAAGCCTCCCCCTCCTCCACAAATGGTAAAATATAACCATGTTTTATGAAAAAAAAATATCTCCTGAAGTATTATTGTTCGTGTAATTACATTCAAAAGGACTTTAGGAATCACTTAAATACCATTTCATGTAGGTAATTAGTTCCTTTCTTTTTTTCCAAAGTAATTATCGTTATTTTTATGAAAAAAAAAGCGCTCAGGCTGAAGCACCCCCTCCAAAATTAAATCATGGATCCGCTAATGCTGTGTTTTATATCTTTGCTCATAATAGTTCGATTTCGATGTATTTTTTGTAGTTGGAAATTATGTGATATTTTAATTATTCATTGATTTAATAAACCGTAAATTGCATACTTTCCCTGTTATGGCCAAATTAAGTTTGTTTTAATTTTTAACGTTGTTTCTATTTTTTTTCTGAGGTGTTGGCGATTGTGTTCAGACAATCTTTGATGATGCGATTGGAACTAACGAAGATATAACAACAGCGAGAAATAAAATATAATATATATTTCCAACGATGGGCATTTTCCGACCACTTACCAGTCATTTTACTTCTTACATTATATTTATATTATATAATATAAAAAATAACAGTAAACTTGAAGGTAGAAAATATTAACACTTACAAAAAAAAAAAAAAATTATATAATTGAGTTTTTAAGAAATAACAAAAATTTACTGTTTTCCAGAATTTCAGCATTATTATTTTTTAACTCCACTTCATTCCGATGTTCTTTATAGGCCCAACGCTCAGTCTAGGTGTGCATTACCGTGATATATACCACGCAAGAAAGAAACTCAGGGGGATACCTCATAGTCAATAGGTGTTCGTGTGTTAGCCTTGGGTATCCGATTCGTAGTCATTCTAGACTGACCTCTTTTATTATTTTCAACTGGAGGTGAGCTCGATTTCTTATTACAAAGAGCTGGAAAATGTAAATTTTATAGGAATTGGAATGACAACAGTATCATCAAGATTTCCTATCGCAGTTATAAAATTGGGCTCAAACGGTAACTGAAAAACTGAACATTTTAGGGATTTAAAAGGCAATTATTTAATATTAAAAATTTTCAACGTAATCCTTAAATAAATCAGAAATTATGAAAGTAGTTTTCGAAAACCGTACGTGTAAAAATGATAATTAATATTTTATAACACTTCTTTGAAAACAGTATTAGAAGCAATCCACACATATATCATTACAGTAAGGCACGAAATCGGTTTTGTACCAAATATAAGCTCCTGTCATGCTCAAATACCATGAATGTGGTACTGTTGGAGTCAGAATTTCACGGGGGGTTAGCGAATCGTATTCTCCACTTTTGTTTTTCTTTCTAAAATAAATAAAGTCGATACAGATATTTTGCTAGGCTTCAATACTGGAAATGTGGTAGGTCTGTAGATCGATACGGGACAAATTGGATCTTGAAGATTTTAATGCGTACAGCAAGACCCGTATAATTCCTCCGGAACTATGGGATCCTGCATTTTTAAGCCCCAAAACGCACTATTTTCGAGATAACGCAAGGTATAGGATTCGCATCCACACAACCTTACATTAATTGTAGTACTGTCATTGAATAAATGTCTCATTTCGTCGACCTTAGGTCTCTATCATCGAGAGAGGAGGAGTTTATATTATTTATCGATGGTGTTTTTGATCGGCAAGCCATATCATCGTTAATTCCTCACCAAATCTCAAGATTGAGCCACCAATTTCGAAGGCTTCTCCTTCAGGCAGGCAAAATAGTCCAATCACCCCGAAAATTCAGGCAAACAAGTTATGAAAGAAAACAAACTTTATTTGCGAATAACTAAAAAATTACTTTTCCCTTGGTTATGCCCATGATTATATAAAAGATTACTAAATTCCCTACAAAAGGAAAAAAAAACATCTAAATCGGTCAATTTTTAGGAAAGATACAGCTTACTGAAATTTGTAAACATCTTGGTTCCAAACAAAAATGTATATTTAAATTAATTTTTTTTTCTTTGTCGATTATATTTATCGATAAAGTAACATTTGATTTCTTTATCTTTTTATACGTTGCATTATTTCCTTTTCTTATTAATTTGGCATTTGATAACAATATGCTGTGCGAATTTTTCGCACGGGTCTACTAGTAATACATAAATTACAATAGGCTTTGTAAATAATGGTCCATTTTCCCTGGTTGTTGCTTTTTTCATTTTGTAGAGAATTTAGTAAATTTTTAAATAATAATGGGTCTAATCAAGAAAAAAATGTATACTCTTTAAGTAATTCGAAAATAAATTTTCTTTTCATTTATAACTTTTTTTCCTGAAATTTCGGGTGGATGTTATTATGATTCTTCATTGCTCCATTTAATTCGCTTTATTTTGATACCTCATTCATCATGATACATCGTTCCTGAGAGCCGGAAAAGGGATCATTATGGCAAAAACCTGTTCTATTATATTATAAAGATAGAAACAAATCATAAAATTAAGGTTATACATACCACTGAGGGTTCTTCTGTATCATGGCTACTTATCCGAACAGTTGGATTTTCGTCTTTCTTCTCCTGATCCTTCTTACGCCCTTCTTTGACCTTCTTCGCTGCCGAAAGCCATTTGTTTTTGTACTTGTAAGGGGAACATTCTTCACTGAAACAAATAAAATAAAATAAAGTTATAATGCATCAAGCAACATCAATAATATAATTAAACAAGCTTACAAACATTTTATTAAATATTAAATTTAAACATTTCATAAAAAATAGGTGCAGACACTAGCAAGGAGTAAGATTTGTCGCCCATATTTGAACCTCGGGGGGCAAGTTTGGTCAGCAATGTTCTCTAACTATCCACATTTTGCCTATTTCATAGTTGAGTGGACTGAGGAAGCATTTATCAAACCACAGTTACCAACCTGATATTACAATAGATAACCAAGCCATATTTAAAATAAGTATTGAAAGATATTGTTATGATGACGTTTTTTTATTATAAATTAATCCGTTAGAGAGGATGAACAATATTTTTTATTACAGCACTGAATAATTAGAAAAAATAATAAACTTTATCATATCCCCTTTTAGTCTACCTCGTACTACAACCTAACTTCTAACATTTTAAATTTTATCCTAAACATACTAAACAGAAGATAATTAATCTCAACATAAATAAATAATTCTCTTTTATTTAGTTAAAATGTTTCCAATACGTATGTTTGTGCATGGAATATTCTACAGTCCCTGTACCCTAACGAATTTTGGTTAATTTGGCGTTATTTACGCCATTGCAAGAAATTAAGAAAGTCAAGAACCAAACATTTTATTCCACGGGCAACCAAAAGCATTGATTTAACATACATGCAAACATAATAGAAAAGTAAAGTTAATTATATAATTTTGATTTCCTCATGCAATTTGGCAATTGCTTCATTCAATACTGGAATGAGTACTTAATTCATTCTTATAAATAAAATAACACTTCCGTTAAAATCCCTGTGTCCAGCGAAAATTATTTATTTGTGTAAGCACATAAAACTAAAATTTATTTATTAATAAAAATGTCTACGTACCGAAAATAAGGATAAAAGTTGAGAGAACGATTTAACAGCGTTTAAATATAAAAAATATGGGTACGTCAAATTCAAACTTGAAAAAAATAAACAAAATAATAACCTTATTAAGATTTTCAAACGAATAATGATATTTTTTTATTTTTATGGAAACTACATTAATTAATTATTTTCATTTATTTTTGTATTAGTTATTATTTTTTTAGTTGTGAGTCATTAATTTACAAATAATAAAAATATTGATTTGTAAATTAAATGTCATCAAAACACGAAAATAATCTATCCTAAATATTCTGGAACGTATAAAAAGTGTAATTCCCTTTTTTTTTCTGAAATGAATTACAATAGAAGAAACATAAAAACCAGCTCTATTGCATCTTTGTTGATCCGATCAATCATAGTTATGTACAGGCTTCCAGATGGATTGTTCCGCGCTACATGTCTACCCATCTTAATCTCCTTGCCTTCATATCATGAGATATAGATAGACTAATTTCAATAAGCAGTTCTTTATTGGTCTTTCTCCTCCATACGTTAATATTCTGATTCCAGATCGCTGCTGTTATCGTAAAGAGAATCTTTCTGTTAAATATCTCAAATTATTAAAAATGTCTTGCAAGGGTGGTTAGTGTCCAGGTCACACAGCCGTTTGTCAGAACTTTATCATAGCATTGTATAATAATCTCAAATTTAGAGTGCTACATTTGAGATTTCGTGAGATTTTTTCGGGTTCCTTAAAGCATATAGATATCTTTGAATCAAATAGTATAATGTTTTATATTAATGCAAATTACAATAGCCAATAAAGGCAAAAAACATGAAAATTCCTTTTAAAATGAATTAATATACGATTAAAAAGTATCTTTATGTATGAAAACCATCTGAGCAGAAATTCAGAACAACATTTTGATTGAACGTTTCAGAGTGTTAATGAAAGGAAATTCGTTAGAATTAAATAGGATTAGTTCAAACTTCAAGGGGAGCATGTAGAGGGAATTATTAAAACTCAGAAAATAACAAATGAAAGGGTTCAGAAACGGACAATAACAGCATTAACAGAGAAACATTTTCAAGGGAACCATAACCAACTTATTGTGAACATCTGTAGTTAAGCTTCAACCCAATATTGTTGGCCAGTAATTGCTTTGTTATTTAAGTTAGCCAAGTCAAACACGTATAAATAGAACTTATAGAGGCTGTAAAAGCAATTAAAGCAGAGTAGATTTTTTGCTGAAAGGGATTGGTAGATCCCAGTCCCTATTTTCAAGCAGCTTCTCCCATACTAATAAGGTGTGTTCTGATTCAATTTCAAAAGAAATGAGCTATTTTTCGGACAACTTATACAAATGGAGAGAGGGAGGAAAAATGGTTTACTGATTTCTAGTTATATCATCAGTTTTCAATTTCCTGAAAATTAAAGAGTTGTGTTTAAGAACTTTGAATCAATTACGTAAGGTAGTTTATAAATCCGAACATGTTTAGTATATGTAACATGATATATGTACATTTCAAACAGAAAATGACAACAAAAAAGTTACCGTTCATTGAATTCTTTGAGTAAACTCAGGAGTTTAAAATAAGATCAGCATATCAAACTTTGTCCGGATGGGTCATTAAAATTAGATAAATCATTGATCACTCACGGTTTCATATTACAAAGAGTACCAAGCCCAAAACAATGTTCCTCATACCTCCAGTAATTGAGATATAACATTCTATCTTAAAAATACAACTTACAGTAAACGCCCAAGTGTGAAACAGTGACTTTTATTAAATGTTTTATTTTAGGCAGGTTTAGACACCATTTTTCTAGTTTTCGGCACTCCTTACCCAATTTTTAAAAACCTTTTGAACTAAATCTGGCAGCCTTCAAAATTAAGGAACTGCAATGATATTCTGCAGTAAAGTGTGCTTCTTACCAAAAACGTAAGACATGTTCTTCCTAGACGGCACCAGTTGTGTTTCTAATGTTTAGCGATATTTCGACCTATAAAACTAAATAAATAGATGCTAGAAGTTGCGAGCGCAGAAGGGATTCCCGCTTCAAATGAGCGCCATAGGCATGCTCTAGACCATTCCTAACCCTTTATATTCTCCAATAACTGCTGGATGGGATGCCGACCACTGGGGGTTTTAAGTCATATAGTTTACACTTCAGTTATTATTTATATAAGATACATCCATAATATGGTTTAATTCTTTATTAATAACTGTTTTTTAAAATACATTTTTGTCAGGAAAACCATAGAAAAGCAGGAAAATACTCGTTACTTACTCGTGACATTATGAGTTGAATTTTAAAGTTCGACAATAACAAAACTAATATATATGTGACACGTGGAGTTTAGCAAAGGTTCAAACAGTTGGTGATAAAGGTATATAAATAAGTATAAGGACATTTATAAATTATGAATAATATACCTTCGTTTAACCAACGTGACATGTATAAAAATATTGGATTTAATCGTTTTTGAGTTCTTTGTCAAAATTAAAAATAAATCTGAGCCGTTTAATCACATTAAAAATCATTGGGATAAATATTTAGTATTACAAAGTACTTGATCAACATCTACACCAGGGGATGACGTGGTCAGCATCCAATTCTCAACATAAAGAAAGGCGAGATACCCACTTTATAGAGCCTTGGTACGCCTCAAGAAGATCTTCCGACCCCAGAGTCGATCCACTAACAGAAGTTAATTACCTTTAAAAAGAATAAAAATAAATTTTTTTATTCCGGTCTTGAGCGCGCTGCGTATCAACGTTTGCTAACAAATTTTGAAAAATCTGTAATTAATAAACCCTATACAAAGATAAAAACTAATTTTATTCAAAGCCATAACGTGGTTTCATAGCTTTAATTTAATCCCTTTTACAAGTAATTCAACTGAGTGATATACGCTGGGATCTCCTGGAATCCTGCCTTTCCTTCTACGAGTGGGGAGAAAGGCTGGCTTCGGAATTCTCCTGAGTTAATGGATTCTGTAAATATTGTATTAAAGTATGCTAGTGTTTAAGTTGTTATTTTGATTAATTTAGTTCTTTTGTTTATGCAGCTTTATTTTTAGTATTGCAAATAAAGTGTGAATGTGCTCTCTGAACACTATTATAAATGTACTTAATTATGACAGATTGTAATATGTCTCAATAAATAAGTTTAAAACAAAACCCATGCTTGCTATTTGTTTTAGATGAAATATTTTAATAATATAAAATAAGGCTGTGTTTTTTTATTCCTTCACCACATTTATTACACTTATACATCTACATCGGCTATGTTTCGACTAGTAAGCCATTTTGTTTAATCATGCTTGTTACATGTGGTCCATAATCAGATGATTATAGACTACATATAACAAGCATGATTAAATAAAATGGCTTGAAAACGGCTGACAAGTCGAAACGTAGCCGATGTAGATGTATAAGTGAAATAAATGTGGTGAAGCAATAAAAAAACACAGCCTTATTTTATATATTTTAATAAAAAAAATTAATCCCTTCCTCACATCACCTCCATTTTTACCAAGTCCGTCGCTCCTATTTTGGTAAGGTATTTTATTCTCCTGCACCTGAAGGCAAACACGAGGGGGCATCTCCGCTAAAAGGATCTTGACCGTCAAATGTGCACATTTTTTATACAGTAATGTATCCAAATAAAGAAAACAATTATATTCAAAAAAGAAATTAAATATTACCCTGTGTTGATACAAAAAAAAAAAAAAAAAAAATAGAATAATGTGACAAAGGCTAAATGTTGACATTGTTGTAATTAAACAAACGGCCCGCCTCTTGACTTCAAACATTCAGCAAGAAAATATACTATTATTAGAAGTTTTTATATACATCTTCATCCATTAACATGTTTTGTACCTGTTTTTTTGCTGTTAGCTACACAGACCTTGTAAATCTTTAGCTCCCTTAACAAGCCTCATCGGTCTCTGCCTATGAGCTATCCAGTCTACATTATTTTTACCAATTATAATACCTTATTATATTAGTAACTATTATATTTTAATAACCATTAATTACGTATTCAACTTGTGTTGAATTGTTAATTATATTCTGTTGCATACGACTACAC